TGGGTTAGTTGGCTAATGAACGTTGATTCTGAGCTTTAAATCTGGCAGGGCACAGGTTCAATCATTGGTTCTTGCAGTTTCAAAAAATTACGAATATATATATATATATATATATGGCAATACTCGAAACAGCTGTATGGTTAGTCAAAAATTCAATTAATTAAATTATTTTGGTAAATTTTCATGCTAAGCCTCACACATACAAATTCATCCATATATTCCTATAAGTTGGAAAATATTAAATAGAACAGCAATTAAAAGACATAAAAAAACCTTCAAATTCTTATTCCATCAGAAAATTACACGATTTTTGTACGTTTACACAAAAGCCAGTGCACATCAATTACCACAAATCATAAATTGGAAATAATATTTTGATGTGCACACACTTGAAAGAATTTGTTGTGTGTTTGTGTGTGTATGTATGATTGTATAAAGTTGAATGACTCGGGAGTCAATAACCCACAAGCGCTTTTCAATGAACTTGAAATTCAAACCGTTATGGCATGGCTGTATATGTATTGCGCGATACTTGCCACAGTTGATTGGTGGGGTGGGGTTTCAATACAAATTCAACAATTTGGAATGCATATTTGATTGCGAGGTTCATGCACCGTCAAGCTATGCGTGTGTGTGTATATTTGTGTACATTTTGTTTACGTGAAACCCAACAGGCTTGAGTGCAGTACATGCGGTGTGTTGGCAGATAAGTAAGCTTTTATTCGTTTCTCATACATATGCTTTTGAAGCCTTTACTTATTGTGTATGAAATCAGCTTTGCTGGGTATGAAATTGTTATTGTTTTTGGTTTGGTTTTTGTTTTTGTTTTGTTTTGTTTTCAATTATTTGCATTGTATTCGTATGTCAGTGCATTCAATGAGTTTTGTTGTGGTTTGCGTTTTACACCAAATACAGCGACAACAATAACGCGTTGAGACGATGCTGTTGATGTTGCTGGTATTGCTGGTATTGCTGTTGCTGTCGCTCTTCCTGCTGCTGCAGCAGCGGCGATGTCATTAACTTGTATTAAATAAAATAATTTTTAAATATTTCGAAAAGTTGCAATCTGCGAAATCTGGGCTCCTTTTCCCCATGTAACATGAACATGCAGTGCGAGTGCACCGAGCGCACATTTTATAGCAGAGTACCGTGCGCGTATCTAACTATCAGTGCTACCTACCTGACTGGCCCATTAAGGATATTTTCAAGAGTAAGAATATTACTGCTTTTACAACACTTGGCAACAGCACCACAAATAGCATACTGCATTATTGGGGGGACAGAGACATATGTGTGGTACTTACTGTTAAACAAAATATTCATATCGTATGTGTACATATATGCAATGTAATTTCGGAAAGGTAAAATTTTGCCAACTGCAACGTTTCTGATGTTTCTGACATTTCTGTTGATACAATATTGTAAAGTTAACGTGCTGTTTATTTAACGTATTGCTAATGCTAATGTTAATGCTTATAAATATCTGTAGTTACATTTTAAACTTATATTTAATTTAATTTATTTGATATCTGAAATTTTAATAGAAAAGCAAGAAGGTATAATTTATCTACTTTAAGTTTACAATTAAAATTTACAAAAAATAAACAAACAGAAAAAGAATTTCATTACATTCACTCAAACTGATTCAATCAAAATTCAATCATTGTGGAAGCCAGATTGAACGATGGCATTAAAAGTACAGCAAAAGTGCTGAATTGGATACCTCACGTTACCAGCCAAAGTAACGAAATGTACTGAACACGAACAGGCTCACAGCTTTCGCAGCGAGTCGCTATGTTAAGTACATGAACAAGTCGAATTACGCTCATTACGCTTATTATTTTAGCGCTGGCGAACGAGCAAGTACAATGAATGCTTACGACAATGGGGGCAGAACGAGTAGCGAGTGTATGACTATTTCTTATAAAGTTGCTGTGTGTACAGCAACAACACACAACCACACACACAAACACTTATTTAACAAGTACTCTACATACAAGTACACTCTACATACAAATCGTTTGGCACTGTTGTAAACTGGGGTAAACTGAAGTAAAGTGCAGTTGTGTGTGCTGTGCTTTCATTCACATGCACTTGCTCAAGTGTTGCTAATATTCGTTAGTCGCAGGGGTGGTGAGGTATTGCAATCAACACATTATGAGCTTTTAAATTATTCTCATAGGTACGTCGTGTATATGTTTTTGTTTACAATATATATAATTTGCTTATCAAGAAATGCATTGATGCAGTTGGTTTCGTTTACGTGGGTGTGGCTTCCACACGTACATTACAATCGGTACATTCGGTTTATGTTATCACATTTGATACAATTCCATTCCAGGGAATTTTTAATAGAGTATTTAGTAAATATGCTTTCTTATATATATGCTTTATGCTAAATATGCTACTAGTTATTGGGGAAGGTAACAAGGTGTGTGGTTTTATTTGTTTTGTTTTTTTTTTGTTTTTTGTTTTTGCAGTAGTTAGAAAGCATCGAAAGTCACAGTGTGTGATTTGAACCCACTGAAACCACGTCTTAGGAATAAATATGGAAGATTACAGCCGCGTGCATCGGATACAACCCCATTCCAGTAATCAAGAGAGAGAGATTAGAGCAACAGGCTTAATACCTAACTAGGATAGGTTCATTTAACCCAGAAAACATGAGCGTAAAGCAGGGAAATTGGATATTAGTGAAGGGGGTGAGGTAGAAGGAAGTGCTACTTAATTTCAGGTACTTATTTACATAATTTACTTATTTATGATATATACATTTAATGTTTCAACTATTCATATGTTCGAATGAGATGTTCGAACGTGATGCTCAAGTTGGTCAGCTAGCCGCCACAAAGGTATATGTTAGGCGCAAAGCATCGAAAGCCTGTGCGACTTGAACACTCTAAAACCAACTCTTACGAACGAGATGAGTACAACACAGGTATCATCAGACTTATATTTCGGCTGAAATCGCATTCCAGACTTGAACCCACTAAAACCAACTCTTAGGAACGAGATGAGTACAACTTAGGTATCATCAGACTGTGAAAAATTTGCGGCTAAAATTGTATTCCAGTAATCAGAGATTGATATATTAACATCATAATATTAGAATTTTCAAATTTGTCTAAGTTAGAAGTAAAAATATATTTGACGTTAATTATGGGTGATGATGGGAATTCACAAAAATTTAGAAGTCTTTAAGAGTAATCTCTATGGAGCGAGTTATTATATTCACAATAAATTGTACAACAGAAATGTGTAAGGGTAGTGATCCAACTAATTGAAATAGAGAGCAAGGGATTAGAGACACCTATAGGAAAGAGCATGGAGAAGCTTAGTAGGGGCTATGTTATGTAGACTAACTCGGGTACAATCAAAAAGTAGTAAAATTACAAAATTGGCAATACTGATGTGACACTCTGCATAACATGCATTTTCATCATAGCCCAAAAGAGCCAATTTTGTCGTGCCCGTGACACCCTAAATAAAATGGCCCTAGGAAGTTTCTCGTTGTGCAGAATATAAGGAGGGAAATTATGTCGACGAGTTAGATATCTATGCGTTAAAGACAACAGATGCTTATCGAATTTTTCCAATTTAGCAGTAGTGAAGTGAAAAACTTCACTTATAGTAGTGATGATCATTAGGCTTGCGGCCATAGTTAACACATTTGTGGAGAACTTTCTTCTCAAACGTAAACGCTTCATTTTAGCCAAATTAATATTGAACCATATTGGAAATTCGAAAATGAATAGAGGGCGAATTCTTACCGTTGAGTGGTTTGTGCTTAAGCAGACCATTCTTAAGTTGGATGTACAGAAAAGTGGCGTTCTGAACAATCTGAGATATATGTTGTGCAAATAGTTGTACTTGAGGGTGAGCATAACTCCTAGGTATTTAAGGTATGTATTCTAGCTATGCTCATGTCACTACTGTCTGATATTTGTTGAATACCACTATTTGAAACTTGTGCTTGGAAATGAATTTTTCAAAATTTTAGCTATATAAATTTTTAGTCTATATAAGCCTGCTAACTGTTATCACATTCCAACAATTTTGATAAATAAAGTAAGGGATTTGTTTTGAAACTTATCCAATCCTTACGTACCTTACATTAATTCATTTTAATCGATGTTGGGTATTTTGATAACGATTGAGAGTTGTTAAAATTATTCTCTATATGACATATTGCATTAAACACAATTAAATAGTAAGAAAAGAGCACAAAATGATGCATCTCAACAAAATAGGAACTAAAGACTGAGGGAAGTAGCAAGGAAAAGCTCGGCGAGCCTCAATACGAAGTTCTTTGGTACGCTGAATATTATAGAGAAAATTGTGACTGCAAATAGAGTACAACAGTTCCAAAGAAAATTTCTTTAAAAACTGCAAAGGCGTTTTATATGAGTCGAGCTTTAGCAAATAGGTAAAGATGAAACCTGTTAATTATCGTCTATTTAATGTTAGTTTTTGACGATCACGGTCACATGATACGTTCACTTATTGAGCTAAACTGCTGCAGCTCTTCGAACCATGCCTCTAACTGGTAAGTTAAGAACCCAATAGTCTTTGGTTGACAAATTACCAACAAAATCTTACCTATTTCCTTCTAATTTCCTGAATATAAAGGTTATTAAATAAAAATTTATATGGGTATAATAGAATGGTTTTTCAGTTATACAATTTCATATTCTCTTTAGAGATTTTTTAACTAATGAAATTAACTTATGCCAATTAAGAACGTAATGTTTTTGTTTAAATATAGAAAAGCGAGTGTTTGCAACGGGTAGACTTAACTGGTAACTAGTAACTGAGGGCATCAAAGTGGGTAATATACATAGAAGTGTTGATATTTTACCGTAGAAGTTTTGATAGTTCTACTGCGCCCTCTATAACAAACCAAACCATTGATGATAACAATTAAATATATAAATTATAAAGCTTTTTATTAAAAATACTATTATTGTACAAAATTGATTTAATTTACAATTATAAAATACTTATCTCTGACTTAAAATTAATAAAATCAAGCCAAGTTAACAAGTTATGATTTACATATTGAGATTTAAAAATCCTTCGCACAAAGTATTTTATATTTTTATTTATTTAATATTTTTAATATATTTCCGCTGAAACACGATGACAGACCTTATATTTTCAAATGTCTCTTCATTGCGCTATAAACATATTGACAAGCACAAACACAAATTTTTCACATTACACATATTATAAAATGAGTATAATAAATTTAGTAACCTTATTTAAACCCAAAATATTATGTATATTCAATTTTCACATATTTACTGAGTTGCTCATTCAATTTAGCATAAGCCAATGCTGTCAGTTCCTCGCTTAAAGCTTGGGCTTCAACTTCTGGAAGTTGAACCAAAATGGAGCCTAATAAGTTTAAAACTGGATCAAATTTCTCTTTTTGATTCTCTTCATCGGTTTTTATTCGTACGAAACTCTCCATTTGTGCGGCAATCTTATCTGCCGCCAAAGTTAGCATATTTAGTGCAGTATTTCTTACATTTTGACTAGTACTAGGCATTTCAGTCTGAAAAATATAACAAAAAAAATTCAAATTTAATTTACATAAATACTTGAAAATATAAAACAAAAAATCAACTCAAGACTAACCAACAGACAACATTATCCATCTATAATGCATACGATTTTTGGAAAATGACAATCCTCAAACAATAAGTGTCAAAGATTCATATCATTCTTACCATATTAATGATCAGTTATTAATAAATTATATATATTTCTGATAATAATTAACCAAAAATAGTTTTGAAATAACGTTTCAGGGGTATACTCTAAACCCCCCTAAATATTAGAAGATTACTATATTGAACAAACGTAAGATGATATAAAACGACTACTGGAAAGTAGTGCTATGTTTACTAAGTTGTTTAAATTTCTTTCATAAATATATAATCATGTTTTTATGATACACCATTGTCTCCAAACCATTTAAGTCTAACCTAGTCTTCTCCTACATGATATTTTTAATTTTTAATCAAGAAATTAAGTCCAAAACTTATTTCTATTAACAAGCGAATACCCACGGATAGATTGACGTCTTCATTACTGATTTAGGTGCTTTTTGATAAATATAATATGCCTCCTATGCTTAGTAATTTAAACGGAATAAAAAATTTCAGTTGACTTAATTAAGTCACATATGGACACATTAAGTAAAAATCTAATGAGAAGTAATTATACAAAGTGTAAATACAACATTTAATACGAAAATTTATATATACTTACATTATTCTGATCATTCTGACGAATGTCTGAAGACTTAACATTGTCTTCGCTTTCCTGCTTTACAGTAAGAGTTCTAATAAATAAAATTTGTTTAAAAATAAATAGACATATATACAATATATATAAATTCAAAAATAAAAAATACATTCAAATATACACATGTACTAAATAAGCTGTAAAATAGAATGGAACTATTTCTGGAACACATCTCTGTTATACTTTGCCTACAAAATGTTTATGAACTTCCTGCTAGTTAGAATAAAAGTAGTTATAGATACCATATTAGAAGATATCATATTAATGTAGCTTTCACAAATTAAAGCTAATGCTTTAGGCTTCTGAAGAAATTGAAAAATATCAGACTGATTTACAATGTTAATTTATTGACTTGTAAAAAGCTCATCTCCTCTCCTATTCTATTGCGCACTTCCGTCCAATTGATCTTTATACTCAGCTTCGAGATTGCAAGAACGGCCGGATCTATGTCTTGGAGCCACTCGTCGCTAGCGACGATCAAGTGCCGTTCGACACCTCCCAAAAGGACCTTATAAGCAGGTCCCAGCACGTTACAACAACAACATTATAGGTTCGACGTTTTAATAAGAATCTAGTTTATGGCACGAAACATGAAATAATGAACACTTACCCATTTGGCGGCATGGTGCTTTCAAGAAATGAGAGTTCATCTTGATAAATCCAATATTCATCTCGTTCCATATCACAATCGTTAGTAGGATTTTTAAGTTTATTTGCATAATAGCGCTTACTGTCACGTACGCTTCGCCAACAAGATTTGCAGTCATCAACTATAATATATTTTATATTTTATTTAAACAATACAAAAACATTATTTTATATTTAACTTACTACTTACAGAAACTGCTTTACTCACATTATCCCAGGCGCGTTTATGAGCAACTTTACTCCAGTGTCCTGGAAATTTTTTATTCCATATAGTTGGATTACTTGCCACAGCCTTTATCAATGCCTTAGTGACTTTTTCATTCAGCTGCCGTTTCTTCTTGTACTTAAATGTACTGCTTTTAATAATGTCACTTGTATTAGGCGTTTCGGTCTATAAAATTAATACAACAAGTATTATATACTTGTTATAACAATACATTTTATACATACGTGAGTGGAATAATTACAAGTCAAAGGTACTGAGTTATTTTCGATAATAGAAGCTACTAAGTTTCTCTCACTAATTGTAGTCACTGAATGATTTTCACTTTTAGTTGTTATGGAATTGCATTCACTGTCTTTGTTTAGTATAAATGTTCTAAAATAGAAAATAATAATTAATTAATGGGATAATGGTAAAATATATACAATATATACTATATATATGCATGCTATGAGGGTAGTATCAACCAAAGGATTTATCTATGGACTTATAATGTATTAAAAAAAGTGTTTAGAATGGCTAGCTTAATAAAATTATCTAGTCAAATTGCGGTATCTAAAAATTTGTAATTATTGTTCCCATAGATAAACACTGTATCACATTTTCCATTTGTAAATACTATTCCCATTGTAAAAAAAGGGCGTTTTATGTACCTATTATTACTTACGCACGTTCCGGTGATTTGTTCTCAAGAAATAATAGGTTATTTTGAAAACTCCAATAGTCATTATTCTCATAACCACACATCATATGATATTTCTTAAGTTTATTAGCATAATAACGCTTGCTGTCAGTCACGCTTCTCCAGGCGGATTTGCAATCTTTCACTGGATCATGTAATACAAGTTATTTATACTATACATAATAATGTTTTCGACTAATATCTTACCATTTAAACAGACCTCTTCACTAACATTTTCCCAAGCACTCTTGAGCGCATTGCTGTTGTAGTGGTCCTTATGCTGCCTACTCCATATAACTGGATTACTTTTCACTGCCTCTATCAATGTTTTGGTTTCGGCTTCATGTAGTTGACGTTTCTTCCTCTTCATACTTTTTGATGCCACTTCAAGTAAACAGATTAGAAAAACATAAATAAATTATATAAAAAGAACTTACTTTTATAAGATCTCTCACTAATTTTACCACACAATTCCAATGAATCCAGAATTATATAAATACAAAAAATAATATAAAATCGTATCTTAGATATATATTTGATAATATCACATTGAACTCCCGCTCTACTATTTTCTACTATTTTTTTACGTATGAGAATGTCAACATTTCGTTCCGTGCAAAATATTTTCCGCTTTGTTATTTCGTTGGCGAAATATTTATGCAGTGTTGCCATATGATATTCTTACACTTTAAAAATATGACTTTTGAAAAAACTCTATACATATAATGGAAAACATATTATTAGGTTTATTTTTCTATAAATGATAACTTAAAAATATACAAAAGTCATAATTTTGTGTTTTGCCCAATGGCTAATTGTCAGTTTCTTCACTGATGTATACAATCACTTGAAGGTGCATCCATACCAAAGCGAGCGCTTGCGAACGAACGAATATTCGCAGGTAATCGTACCTGCAAAAGTTTAACTCTCATACTATGTGAGCCACAGTATGAGACACAGTATTGAACCCACTAAAACCACCTCTTAGGAATGAATGGAGCAGATTCCCACAGCAATGTGGAAACTTCATTCCAGTAATCAGGGGAAAGAGAAAGTAGACACACTTAATACCTAGTGAACTAGGTTCATCTAAGCCAGAAAGCATGGGCATGAATCAAATGGAAAGAGTAATAATAAAGGGAGTGGGGTTATGGCCAAATAGCGGGGGTGGGGTCAGTGATAAACTTTATGACCGAAGTCACGAAAGCCGTGGTTGTAAAGGGGAATAGAGAGAGGATTATGGTCCAAATCTTCGTAATAATGAGATAGGTACTGAGGAAACTTAAAGCGTAAAGCTAGAACAATGTCTACTGGGAGGGTATCTAGACTAGATACGTCAGGAGGGAGGTCATGGAGCCGGGTGAGGTACCTACAGGCCAGTGTCAAGAGGTCATAAAGTGTCAAAGAGTAGAGATGGAGAAGTAATTGCCATTAGGCATGCGCTTATAGTTGGTGCAATCACGAAGAAGTCTCCGCTCAAACAGGCTTCTCAGCCTTATGGCTAAGATCAAAGTGTAGTAAGATACGTTATTTTATAACAGTTCACTTAAGTATTACTTGGCGAATAAAAAAATTATTTTATTTTCAAATAAGTTCAATGTATATTTTATGTAATAAATTTACACACATGCATTTTAAAATGAATATTTAATATATATTAATTATATACATCAATATAATACATAATTTTTAAATTTGTTAAACATTTAAGATATGTATTGTTTGATACGTTTATTAATATTGTTGTAATTTGTATTATTTATTTAATTATAAGCTAAAATTTTTTATTTTTAATTTCACATAATATTAAGCTATTTATCACAGTTAGTTGTGTGGGAAATAAAAATTATAATTATTTATAAATTTTTATAATAGATTACACATATAGATACACATATAGCGGAATGAAAAATTATTCTAAATATTATTCTTTAATTCTAATTACATTTATAGTAAAACTTGATATGTTTATGTTACACAATTCTCATTTTTCTGAATTTTATAATTAAATTTAATTAAAAACTAAAAATTAAATATATATAAGAGTAAATTTTGTCTATCGTTTTGTTTAAAAATCGTTTGATTTTGGAGTTACAGTACAGGCATCCTTAAAATTAGTAGCGTTCAGTGGTCCAAAGTAGTCGTCATGTAAAAAGCGAATAATGTTCTCGATTGGACATAAATCCGCTTTGTTGCCACGACTATCACGGGTTATGCGCAAACTTTTCCCACCCTATTTAAAAAAAAAAAATCAATAAGTATTATATAATATAAATAAAACAAATATATATTAAAGTCACCTCACAAAAATCGATTTCATTTGTCACGTCGCGACCATTGTAAAGCACACGAAAATAGTAATCTGTATGTGCCTCACTCTTATATAGCTCAATGGAAAGACGTGCGGCATATGGTATAAAGGTATTCTCTGTTTGTATACCAAGTGCAGCTGTTAGATATTGTAATGTCCAATCGTGTCCAGAATACAGCACAAACTTTGTACGATCACCCGAGATCATTTTCAGCATATAACTTACAATATGTCTAATCATGCCATATGCACGCATCAAACCTATTCGCTTATAGTAGACGTGCTTAGCTTCACGCCCGGACTGCCAATTTGCATAGAACATTAAGGCAGAAACATGTGTATGCTCTATGCAACCCTCAGTGACACTTAAGCTGTTCACACCTGTTTGTGTTTCTTCGAGTGGTGCAACAGCCGATTGTGCTGCATTCACATCCATTAGATTAGCTGCAGTATCATCTTGATCAATATTAATGACGTCACTTAAGTCCAAGGTACTGGTCGGTGTAGTTGGTGTACGCGTGCTATTAGTTGCAGTAGAATGACGACAAGGTAATTCTACATCGTGACATAGAATTGTTAGCATTGCATCAACAACTTCGTTAGGATCATTTATACCGTTGGGAGTATGTTGCAAAAGTGTTGTACCTATCCATTGCATTACACCTGCAACAACTGGGTGTTGCGATAGCTGACGTGCACTTATTGCTGACATGCGCCGACGAAGTACTTCAGCCTGTGCACAAGCGCAGTCAGTAAAACAAAATGCCATGCTATGTGATTCACGTATGTTTAAAGCTAACCACTTATCAACTGGCAGAAACGTGAAGAGCAATGCTAAAGCCGATTGAAAAGTCCGACGATATCGTGTTGTGTACACAACCACTTCATCAGAATTCAGTAATGAATGTGGTGTTGAGCTCATTGTAGACTTATTTGTCATTTGCTTTAATAACAGACCCAAAGGATGTGCATAAATTTGATGTAATAGTTCACCCACATGTAAAAGTTGCGCTATGCCTCTGTAAATAAAAAATAATTACTTATGTACATATATCATATTGCTTTATTATACAATATTTTTATATTATATTCATATATATTTATAATTAAAAAAAACATTTAATTCTAAACTTACAATAAAAACGTATTCAGACAGACTGGAAAAGATTTGACTGTTTTTTATAGGAGAATAGGTTAAAGTATACCATTATACCCTCTAGAATTAGTGTCTATACTTTACATAGTTCCTCTAATTCATAAAATATTTATAAATAAAGTAACAATAAACATGTATTTATGACATTTCTATGGATGACTAAAGAAAGGTTTGACTATATTTTATAGCACAATATATCTAATAGGTGACGGTATATCATTGCTCCCTCTAAAAATAATGGCTATGCTTTACATAGTTTCTCTAATTAATAAAATATTTGAGAATAAAGTAACAATAAACACGTATTTAAGAATTTTATACAAAATACTAACGTTTGATTAATTAATAGTACTAAAATTATAATTAAAATATTCGAATCCAATTATTTTTGAATGGATTTTGTATAAATAATAACATTTAGTACTGCACATATGTCAAGCGAGATAGTGTAAACTTACTATAAATTCTTATAGAAGTCTTAATTGATCAAGCATTAAAATAAAATATTAAAAAGTATATTAAAAATACGTACTTGTACGTTAATTGTCCAAGAAAGCAGGATTTATCCGTTGGAGGTAACATCGCAAATCCATGAAACGGACCAACTTTATTCCAATACATGTGATTTGCGCCAGAAGTTGAAGTTGAATTATACAAAAAACTACGGTATCTATTGATATGCAAAACAATGTTATTATAATGTATAAACTATAAAAATTTAGTTTTAAATAATTTTTTTAGTTGATCATGGTGCTGTTTCAGATACGATCAAATTCCATCTTAAGTAGTAATTGGAAACGCTTATTGATATAATTGTTCATATATAGTTTGTAAACTACATTTGTTAGGATACCGTTCAGGTATCAAATTGGAAATGTAGTCTCGCCCGCAAAATTTTTATACAGACAATTAAATCAATCAATCAATAGGTGCATTCAAACAGCACTACTAATGAAAATTTGTGCAATATCCGAAACAGCTATGTGGTCAGTTCAAAAATTTGTTTAATCTAAACATTTAATTTTATTTTAAATTAGTTACTTCACCTATTAACTAAAGCATCTGCCACAACTCCACAATCAATGTTAGCGACACCTCGCACGTGAGACATTGGACCACGGTCACCATGTCGTATGACCAATAAAACGCCTTGCAATTTCCAACCCTCTAGTATGCCACCATCATCACGACGCACCAGTTGCTCAAGTGGTGTGCAACGTTCTTTAAATTTTCGATATTTCAATACTTCTTCGTTGTCCACTTCGCCAGCTGCAGATGGTGCATAGGCGTGTGTTTTTCCATTCAAAAAACTAAGCGTGCTGCTCAAGGATGACGAATTATGCCCAATGTATTTATACATACCTATAAAAATATTTTCAATGAAAATTCATTTTTTAATATTAAAAGTATTTAGTTGATATTACAATTGGGGTACATACCTGCAATTAGTAGAAATATCCATATACTTAAAATCATATAACAATACAGCGTACGATGTTGTGTTGAAAAACGTATCAACTCCTTGAGCAGCATTTTGCAAAATTCTATGCATTTAAATTAAAAAACTAAATAAAATATATTGAAAAGTCTAAATTTTATATATGGTCGATTTAGTTTTTCGACACACTAGAGGGTTTGATGCGTTGTGACTCCAGGAAAAATGTTTAATTTCTGCATATACCACTATATAATGCGTATACAGGCAGGCAGTGAAGTGACAGTGGGGTGGCTATAGTTGTATTGACTGGCTTTATGTTTGCGCACTCAATCCTTTCAGCCATGTAAAATGGTACATGCGCACTATTGGCCTTAACATATGGTATCATGATAGCTGTTTTTATTTTTGTGGGAAATGATAATAAAACAGCTGATTTTTAAATTTTGTTGTATTCTTTATTAAACATTGAATAAGGATACAAATATTTATATAATAGAATATAATAATATCAAAAGCGTTAAATATATATGTATGTTCTGATGATTAAATCGTACAGATACTTAGATTTTTCAAAAACTGAATAGAAAACTTTAAATGACTAAAATTATATGATGAATTTCATTTAAAATTAATGAACATCCGAATTTTTTATATATGTATATAATATCAAAAATGCTTTTGTATTTTTAGAGCAGCAATTTCTCCAAGTAGTCCCATATGAAATTCGGTTTTGTCTTTAATAATAAAATCCAATTTAAAAATGTCCATAAAACCGTGTGTTTTTTGGAACCATTCAAAGTTTAAATATTCACCTTGAAATTCTTTTCGTGAAACGGGATTTTGTGTCATTGATTCAAGAAATGTTATTTAATTGCATCTTCTTCAATGTATGATGGAAATGGGAGTGGGGAAAGCAGAAACATAGAATTTCTTTTCCATTATTTTCAAAAAAAATGCTCCAACAGTGTTCAATTAACTTCTGTTTTTTTAATTCCATGGAGATGCGGTGAGTGTAATCGTAAACATCCTTGTTTTAAACAAATGTGGTGTATTTCATTTAAAATTAATGAACATCCGAATTTTTTATATGTGTATATAGTATTAAAAATGTTTTTGTATTTTTAGAGCAATAATTTCTTCAAGTAGTCCCATATGAAATTCGGTTTCGTCTTTAATAATAAAATCCAATTTGGAAATGTCCATAAAACCGTGGGTTTTTTGGAACCATTCAAAGTTTAAATATTCACCTTGAAATTCTTTTCGTGAAACGGGATTTTGTGTCATTGATTCAAGAAATGTTATTTAATTGCATCTTCTTCAATGTATGATGGAAATGGGAGTGGGGAAAGCAGAAACATAGAATTTCTTTTCCATTATTTTCAAAAAAAATGCTCCAACAGTGTTCAATTAACTTCTGTTTTTTTAATTCCATGGAGATGCGGTGAGTGTAATCGTAAACATCCTTGTTTTAAACAAATGTGGTGTATTTCATTTAAAATTAATGAACATCCGAATTTTTTATATGTGTATATAGTATTAAAAATGTTTTTGTATTTTTAGAACAATAATTTCTTCAAGTAGTCCCATATGAAATTCGGTTTCGTCTTTAATAATAAAATCCAATTTAGAAATGTCCATAAAACCGTGGGTTTTTTGGAACCATTCAAAGTTTAAATATTCACCTTGAAATTCATTTCGTGAAACGGGATTTTGTGTCATTGATTCAAGAAATGTTATTTAATTGCATCTTCTTCAATGCATGATGGGAATGGGAGTGGAATAAGCAGAAACATAAAATTTCTTTTCCATTACTTTAAAAAAAAAATGCTCCAACAGTGTTCAATTAACTTCTGTTTTTTTGATCCCATGGAGATGCGGTGAATGTACTCGTAAACATCCTTGTTTTAAACAAATGTGGTGTATTTCATTTAAAATTAATGAACATCCGAATTTTTTATATGTGTATATAGTATTAAAAATGTTTTTGTATTTTTAGAGCAGTAATTTCTTCAAGTAGTCCCATATGAAATTCGGTTTCGTCTTTAATAATAAAATCCAATTTAGAAATGTCCATAAAACCGTGGGTTTTTTGGAACCATTCAAAGTTTAAATATTCACCTTGAAATTCATTTCGTGAAACGGGATTTTGTGTCATTGATTCAAGAAATGTTATTTAATTGAGTCTTCTTCAATGCATGATGGGAATGGGAGTGGGGATAGCAGAATCATAGAATTTCTTTTCCATTATTTTCAAAAAAAAAAATGCTCCAACAGTGTTCAATTAACTTCTGTTTTTTTAATCCCATGGAGATATTTTTAGAGCAGCAATTTCTTCAAGTAGTCCCATATGAAATTCGGTTTCGTCTTTAATAATAAAATCCAATTTAAAAATGTCCATAAAACCGTGAGTTTCTTGGAACCATTCAAAGTTTAAATATTCACCTTGAAATTCTTTTCGTGAAACGGGATTTTGTGTCATTGATTCAAAAAATGTTATTTAATTGCATCTTCTTCAATGTATTAACTTTTTATAATTAATATAATGTTTTTAAGTTAATACATTTTTACGTGTCAAAGATATTTTCATTTATACGAGCATACTCGTTTTTTAAACCTTTCTAATCGTGTTCTTAATCCCAAAGAGATGGCGAGAATTTACTCTGATTTTCCAAATTAAAGTTTAATGTTTTAATCTGAAGGAATTTGAAATAGTTGACTTTGCTTTTAATATTTTAGATTGTTTTCATCAACATTATGGAACGTGTTTACTCTTTCCTTAAATGTTGATAATTGTGTTCTCTTCAACATAAATAATAAGTAAGTTTCCATTTTCTCATAAACTGTTTTCCTTAGCAAGAGACAAATAAAACAATTAGCGCTCTTTCATAAAATAGGTGGGTTTGTTTGATCTGAAGAATTTAAAAAAAATTTTTTTGATAATTGTGTTCTTCAATTTAAAAAAAAATATATAGAAATGTTAACTCACTTTTTTCATCATTAAAACATTTTTTTTTCCGAAGCTTTACTATCATATCATAAAGTACAAATTGTAGGCAAGTTTCTTTAATCTGAAGAATTATAATCTGTTTCTTAAATGTTTGTAATTGTGCACTTCATCCACAATAATAAGAAAATGTGTATTCATTTTCTAATAAATTGAACGTACTATTCTCAGCGACGAAAATAAAAGCTTAGGTAAGCGCAAAATATTGGCGAGTCTTTACAATTTCAAGGAAATTCAGTTCCTTTTCTTTCTAATGTATAAACTTGTTATCCTCAGCGTTGCATAGATTGTTAACGTATTCCTTAAATGTACATGACTATTATCTCTTTTTAAAGGAATTAGAAAAGGTTCTTTAATTTTTAGAATAGGATGTTAATATAGTCTTCACGATTCCTTTAATTCTTGGTAAATTTCTTTACATTTTTTCAGTTTTCTAATTAATCGAACCATATTATTGTTGTTGGTTTACCAAAATTCCATTGATTATACTGTTTTACTTAATAAAAAGCAAAAAATATAAATTATATGATTTATTTTTCCATCCAATAATTGAAAAATCCGTATAAAAATCGCGTAACAAAATTTTTAATACGTAGCAATCAATTGTTGGTTAAGTATATTCATTGCGTGTTCAATTTGTTTAGTATATCTTCATATATTTGGTTTTCGTTTATATATATATGCATATATATTTTTATAGTTTTGCTGGTTTGTTAGTATTATTTTTTTTTTTCTTATATATATTTTTTCAATTTTTTTTTATATTTTCTGTTTTATATATTTTTTTTTATGTATTTTTATAGTATAATTATTTTAATATTTAATTTTTTTAAATTTTAATCTTGTGCGGCAGCCAGTGCTAACACAGTGAAACGAAGCTCAGATGGATCACGCTTCATAAATTCTTTACAAACTTTAGCTGCGTCTGCCACGAACGTTTCTTCACTTGTATCCCCATGCTTTACAGGAAACTGTTTGCGTCCATCTAATTCATAGAGTACATCCCCCTTGTTAACGATAGCGACAAAGTGATGAAATACTTTAGTATTCGGGTCGGCTGGAGTTTGGCCTTCTTGTGCCAAACTTTGATGACCTTCAGAAAATTTTTTATCGTTTTCTAAAGCTTCACCACGTTTTTCTGGAGTCATATCAGAAACATTTTCCAAAAAGTTCTTAAGTATGCCATCCTTAAGTTGAATGCTAGATTAGAAATTATGAAACACATTAATCCAAACATTTATTAATAAATTGTTATTATATATAATACTTTATACAAAAAAAAAAGTAAATTTATACCATTCAACACCTATATCATTTTATATTTCAAGATATTCAATATCTTTATATTGAATAAATTTAGCTTTTTATATTTAATTAAAAGCCTTTTATTTCGAAAATAGTTTTATTGTAGTTTTAAGAACTTATTTTCATATAGGCTGTCAATTTAATTAAGTACAATCTAATTAAATTAATCATTTAAACCAAGGCTGTCCAAAGCACGGCCCGCGACATTTTTTTAATATACTACAATTACGCGAATTCTTTTTTGGTGTACTGGTAATGGTAAAACCACATTATTTTATTTTTATAGTATACCAAAGAAGTAATAAATACTATAAAAAAGCACAAGAAGCCATTCACATTAAAATCAATGTGATAAAATTATATTATAAACAAGACCAAGATTTACTTTGAGTTTTAGTACCGAAAAAGAAAACAACGGAAGATGTTTAGCTATTGTTCTACTAATAGATGTAAGATGAGATTATTAAGGTAATAATATATGATGTATGAAAGAATTATTTAAAAATCATTTAAACAAACGTTCATATGTTTAAAGTGAGCTCTTAAACCTTTCCTCATATATTTATATAATTTATATAGTTATTTAATAGTTATGTACGGTTTATGTAAAAATTTAAAATTACGACTTTGAAATAGTTTTTAAATTTCAGTTTCTTTGTGTCGTTAATATACAGAATAATATAACACGTGAAATAACCCAAATAATAAAATCTGCATCTAAATGCTATCACAGTTACTAAAAGCACTAATATTACTGGATAGATATGTGAACGTTCGAACTATACTTTGGTTTAAAGTAGATGCTGTCTAAAACTGAGATAGATAGATTGTTTGGGGTCGATTAAAACAAAAGCTTAGGATCGAGAAGACTGCAACAGGCACAAACCGCTACAAAATCTCGCTAATAATAATAACAATAATAATAAAAAAAAGCAGTAATATCACAAAAAAGGAATTATAATTAAATAAATTTAAAGTAAGTCCTTTTTATTAACTCATAATGTTAGACAAAAATTAAAAGTTGATTTAAACTCATAAACTCAAGCAAAAAAAACTCTGTGTTGACAACGTTGGTTTTTTACATTTTTATTTATTATAATTTTTATACTGAACTATTAGGAATAAGTTTAAGCTTAAAATGAAGATAAAAAATAAAAGCACTAATAAAAAATAAAATTAAATTAAAAACTTTAATTACTAATTTTTTATACGTACTTTCTGTACGCAGAGTTTTTCTGCTGAGTGAGTATAAATAAAAATTTTGCTTAAATATGTAAGAAAATACATTACTATATTTTAAAGGTTGAAAATACTCACCCTTTAGCATTAGCGATACTATGAATCAGAGCGACAGTTCCGCAAGCATTGGGGGTACATTGACGCATATAAAACAAATCATCAGGATGAGTTTCCGGAGACGAAAGTAATCGTTCATTTTCCTCACGACGATGTTGCTCATACTTGTTTTAAACAAAAAATTTATTGAGATATAGAAACATATTTATTATATATCATATTTACAGCTTCAGAGCAAGGAAAAAGCAATATCATTGCTTTTACCGGCTTTGGCACCCATTCCAACATGTCCGGCTCTAAGCCCATGACATCAGTCAAGCACCACTCATCAGAAACACCAAGTTCATGAATGTACTTAGTCAAAACCTTAAAAAAAAATTTAATTAATTATTTCTTCCTTTTACGCTGACTCATCGTAAGAAAATATAAAAACCTTTCGAATGCATAAAATATGAAATTGCTTTTATTAAAAGCTAATTAACTTACATCAGGATTAGATTCCAAAGGTATCCAAAGTGTAGCCATACTTAAACTTTTTTTAAACTTATTTCCAATGTTAATTCAAGTATTTATGCGATTCTAATAGGACCGAACTATTCTACCGGCTTCTGAAAATACGAACAAAGGAGGAGTAAACGAATGAATGCAAAGTCAAACAATATGTCAGTTTACTACAATTTTATGAAAAAAAATGACATTTGACAGAGTTGCTTTGTTTGTAACTGTCAAAATAGAAAATTACTCAAATCTTAAAATTATTTACGTAAAATTAAACAAATAGGCTTATTTTTATATTTATGGAATATATATATTCTTTTTATATAGATTGTGTTATATTTATAAGTTCTATAACTTCGAAAAATAATTTTTAAGCACTAGAATAAAAAAAAATTAGAAGAGAGGGAACTTTTTAATTTCAATATTTCCAGAGATAAAGCATATCGAAGAGAAATCTATTGGATTTGCCATTTTGAGCAACTTTTTTAACTTTAGAATTTAAAATTCTCGAAATATTCACAAAATTTTTATATTAATTTAAAAAACAACAATTAAACAGTGTACTCGACATAAACTTGTGTTTGCGTAATTAATGTAGAATTTTACAGATATAAATCGCTTTCCGATATATAGCCTATAGTAGAAGTTATTTATTATAAGAAATTTTACACCAATTCGTTGTAAAATTGCAGCATTCAACATACCGCAATCGAAACAAATCTTCTGTCAAAAAATCCTTATTAACCTAAAAAAAATTCAAGCAACTTAAGTTATTTATAAATATTTAAGGCATCAAATAGTTTTTAATTATTGACTAAAATATTTTTAAATTAAATGAGTTCCAAAAACTGTACAAAATTACTGTCATTTTTAATATCGAGCTCTAACAAACTTGTGCTAGTTTTGTCAAAAACTGCAGTCTAATTATAATGAATAATACTTTCAATCAGTAGAATATAGAATATGGACTTAACAAAAGTATTTATTAAAAAGAATAAATTCGAGTGCGGTAGTAGAATCTACGATCAAACGCTTATAAGAAAATCAAACCAAGTAGAGGTGCTTTTGTCTGCAACTTTTTAGACGTACGAGTATGTGTTTTAACTAAGTATCAAGTAATAGTGAAGTATTTGCATTAAAACTAATCCAAAATTATGAACATAAATTTCTCAGCAAATGCTAACAATACAAAGAAACTAATAAAATCTATCACAAAATACTAACAATTCAGTTATGATTTTGTACAGGCTTTTGTGAATAAAATATATATATAAACAGAGAATATTAAAGAGAATGTAAAGAAGTAACTAATATAATATTATTACTTACAATAGCACAAAATTGTTAGTGTTACGGTCAATATACAATTACTAAATAGTAATCGGAAATTCGAAAATTTACAATGACTAAATTTGACAGATAGTTTTTCGAAAATTCAAATACAGTAGTCATTGTTTTGGCGATTAAAAAATATAATTATTAAATAAGTGATTTGATCATTATTTAAATAAATTAATTGGCATATTAATTATGCTTGGCGATTAGTGTAAATTAAAAAACATTAATAACAGTAGTGTACTGTGATTAATACAACAAATATAAAGTAATTTTTTATAGAAAAATATTTTATATATATTAGTATTATATCGAAATTATATCATACTGCATATATTGATCTAATAATCACAATTGGTTGTTACACAAATTAATAAAATCGGTGCTATTGATATACATGAAATTGTCATTTAGCCACATTCACTTCTTGTTTTAAAAATAAAAACATTAGACTAATAAAATCATCCACATGCTGGGGATATTCCCAAGAGCTGCAGGTTTGTATAAGTTGTACTCTAGTTGTGCAGTGTGCAATATTTTCTATAAATAAAAAGAGATCAAAATCTCTGTTAAAACTTTAAAACTATTGTCTTACCCATAACACGTTGTTTCACTTTTGTTTCCTCAACGTAATGATTATATAATTGTTCCGCAAATTTGATAAAATTTGTTATTTGCCATGAGCGATAAAAAGTCTCATTGCAGCTACCGGGTAACTTGCTTAAGGACCGCAACTGTCTAATGGATTCTTTAGCATTAGTAGTTATATCGTGAAAAATAGATGTAATTATGGCCAATTTATCGCAATAGGTTTGTAGTTCTTGTGGATATTGAGTATGATCGTTCGTTGCTGCTTGATTTGCAGTTGATAAAGACCGCGTTTTTATTGCTTCAATAGAACTACATAAAGAAAGTCCACGCTTTTGTGCCAGTTGCCATTTGTCGTAGTTATCCTGTAAAGTTTTTATGATAACATCTAAACGTGTTTTACAGACCGTAAAGTTGGAATCAGAGGAAATGGCTCTAGTTTTAGGGCTATCAAGAACTTAACAAATAAATTTTTAATTTTAGAGATATTAAGATGTTAAACAAAACTTATACTTACATCTTACAGGTGTTAACTTTTCATTGAGACTGGTTTCCAACGTTTTATTTGGCGTCGAAATCATTTTATTTATTTTTAATTGCACGTTGTTTTCTTTTTTAACTTATTTTAAAAACATTAAAAAAAGCATATGTTTAGAAAGAACGGAAAATGTAAGAACAAGTGATGAAAACGCGGACAACGACGAAGATACAAATCAATACAGAGTTGATTTTTTATCTTTTAACAAGTTAACAAATATTTTAAAATTGCAGTTTATTACTCAATTTAATAATAAATATATGCATAAATTATATTTAATGTATTATACAATATAAAGTTCTTAAATATAAAACTAATAAGATACTTTTTGTTGCTTTTTTTTATATAATACTTTAAACTGAAATGAAATTGCTTCATATAATTTAAAAATAAAATTTAAAATGTCTTTAAAACATATGTATAATCATTTAAAAACAATTAACTAAAACATATGACACAACAACAATGCTCTTAAAAATTTTATATTTCATATTGTACACAACACAACAAAGAACATATGTTAAAAATAAGTATTTAGCATAGCAATTTGTTTTAACCAAACTTAACGTTGTAATTTTACAACTCTGAAAAAAATATGACGGCTATAATATGAAGTAACAAAGGTATAACAACATGACAACAAAGAATTTGGAATTTGATAATATTTCACAACGATATCAAGTGTCTTAATCTTATACATGACATTCTTCAACCAGCTCTATTTTCTAGCATTTTATGTAACATGATGTGCCTGGTCAGTTTTATTCTCCTATCTGTGTGACATTGCATATTTTTCTTCTATAATTTCGTCTGCAATATAATTTTGGTTGTGGGCTGTTATAAGTATCATGCAATACGAATCTTCGTCCCGTCCAAAAATAAAATTTGGGCATACATGATTTAAAAACAAAACGATAAGTATTTTGATTTTTCTATACTTCTATTTTTTTCTTATTACTGGCTTGATGCCTCACAATTGAGCCCTTAAGGTCTTAAAGTTGAAATTTGTTTTTTTTATATTTGCCAAAAGTGATTTACATCTGTGGCTGAATAAATTAATAAAATCATATAAATTAAAGCTCTTTAGTGTATTTAAATTAATAACTATGCTTCACAAATATGTTTACCGAAACCAAACCGAAGTGCTGTCATAATATCATCGCGAAATCTATATAAGACTTTTCGTTTAATAAAATTATAAAAGCACGAAAAAATTAATAATTTGATCAATTTGCACTAAAACATAGTAGTTACAAAAGGGGTAGAATTCTATTCTATGATTTCGAGTACCAATGTCAACTTTGCCGACCGCTTTAATTTTTAAAAATTCCATATAAAACTTTTCAAAATGCAACACTGTTATGTTTTTTTTATTCAAGTTGGATTTTAAATTTTAAAATCATATGTAGCATGTTCTTTTTTCTACTTGTTAGATTGGTAGAAACAAGTTCAACATTTTTGTTTTCAAAGTGGTGAATGTTGTGCTATTCTTGAGAAGTTGTCGACATTTAATAAGTGATTAAATTAACTTTGTGAAAGTAGATCTATATAATCATCACCCAACAGAATTATATATTTTTTAAAATTATTTGTGAATGAAATAAAATTTGGAATTTATTGAACGCTAAATTTTCACGCTTTAAGTTGTAAGTAGTAATTTTATTCCTTTTGAATCTTCTGTGTAGAATTTGTATTTGAATTTGTATTAGTTTTATTGAAATACGTTTTATGAATATTTAATATAAATCGTCTTTAAATTTTTGTTTTTTTTTTGATACTTTTCGATTTATGTGTAGCCAAAACTAGTTACTAGTTTTTAGCATTGTGCAAAGATTAATTAGATTTCATTGTTAGATTGATTGAAAACTTGTATTCTTGGCTTTTGCGTGAATGTGCAAATCGCATTTTTAGTTGCATAAAAGCGTCGACGAATTTGCGGGAAATGCGCTTTCTTACCGGTAATCTTTCTTACCTTCTCTATATTAGAAGGCTTAAGTGCCGTGAGAAATATTAAAGCCTGAAAAAACTGACTAAAAAAAACTGACATGTGGGACCTTAAATATTTGACGTTTATTATGTGTGTGTAAATTAATATGTATGTAATATAATTAAAGAACAGTTTCCTTTTATTCATGTTTTTGCAATAGATTAAAATTTTGTTGTTTTTAATTTTAAGCTATTAACAAACATATTTATGACAATATATGTGTATTGAATATCTTCTATAGCGTTTAAGTAAATATCTTTATGTTAATAAGTAAGAGTTGTGCAGGGAGGAACTAAAAATGCCGTTTTGAATCCACAAAACCTCATAATAGTTGATAATAGAGAGAAGGTCAAGCTAGAACCAGTCAGAGGTATTTATAAAGGCAAAAATCTGGCCAATGTTAATACTAAAGATATCGCCGAGTGCGTTGAAGAAGGGAACTCCCCAGAAACTTTAGGCCTAGTTCTAGCCAAACCTGGACATAGACACATCAAGTGTTCTGGTGTCATTTCTTCGAGAGCTGGTAGACACGCATTGCAGCAGATACCACAGGGTAGACCAAGTCTAGCTACATGCCATCCTATGGTTCAGTTCAACTTTAAGATGTTGACGTTCGCATTACAGATTGTGGAAATCAGAGGGAACTGTCTGTCCAGTTTCTACGTATCGTTTATTAAATAGTTGTCTGTATTGTCATTTAAAATAGCAGAAAATCGGGTGCTGTTTCAATATATGCTCTTCTGTATTTCAAGTTTGGTTAATATGGTAATTAATGCAGTTCACCAATTTACATATATTCTACGGAACCTTTATGAAACTACTATTCATCATAGGGCTTTAACTGTTTTATTTATGGAACAATTTTACGACTTTTCTGAAGCGCTTAACCTATGAAAGAGCTTAAGACATATTTGTCTAAAATGTAAAATGTGCTAGTTGACCTTAATCTCGCAAAGACATTAGATACAGTCGCCCATAGCACTTCGTGGTGTAAAGCCTTCACGGTCTCCGTTGAGACCTGTCCTTCATCTTCCTGGAAGAAAGAGGTCTCATTCGTGCAGCAAGAACTATCCTAGTTCAATTGAGATCAGGATATAACCGAGTGCTAAACAGTTACTTGTCACGTATAAATACGTCTATTCCTAATGTGTGCTCAAATTACAGCTTTACTCCCCATGACGTCACCTATCTCTTCTCCTGTCCTACTATGCACAGAAACTTCCCTTCAATTCACATTTGGATTCACCCCATTGTAGTGCCTAGGTTTCTCTGTCTGGATACAGGTTAATATTAAATTAAATCTAAAAATTATTCTCATTCCCCTCCTTTATCACACCCAACCACTACCATTCCACTTCCCAACTCATGTAATCGTCTTGTACAACAACAACAATTAGCAAATAGTTAGTGAGTGGTTATAGAAGCTACAACCTTAGAGATGTGCTCTCTTAGTAGGCTAATTCTTTTGAGTTTATATGATCCTAAATGTTACAATAGTGTCTTCATTTGCACAAGATTTTTCTGTTCTCTCTTAATGGACTAATTCCACCAGGTTTATATAAGCCTGGACGTTACACAAATGTTGTCATGTTCACAAGATTTTTATTTTACCCATTAGCAATTTTATGTATATTTAGACTTACAATTATTTTTGTACTTTCGATAGTAAAAACATATTCTTATATTAATATTGATCTGTAGTCATATAATTATGTCATAGAATATCTATCATCTATGCATGATGTCCTCTTTCTTAAGCTCTGTTTGTGGTTGTTGTATCATATTTCGAATTATAACACAAATACCTTTATGTATTTTTAAATGCTTTTTTATTTGACTATTGGTCTTCATTTCGTCTAATTCAGTACTTGTTGTTAATACTTATAAAGAGGTTTATATGTTCCACATATAAATCATTTATTAATTTATCATAAAAATAATTTAATAAAAAAAATATATCCTTTGCATCTTCTCAATTATTTGTGATTCTGTTTAATAGAGTAATTCATCATTTAATTCTTAGTACTTCTTTCTAAAGTTATTAATATAATAATTTTACCTTAATTTTCTTACAATTTACACGTTTGTCAAATAAATACTTTCCTCATTTTTCAATGCTAAATTTTATTTTTAGATATCTCCAAGTGATTATTTTACGCATACTAAATCTTATTCATAACTAAATTTATAAATAGTATTCGATTATAATAATAATCAGTGGAACTATAGCATTATATATATTTTTCTATATGTACGAGAACATAGGCGTAGACGAGTAGTGTACGTATTTCCCCTTGAATTTGTATATTTTTTCAACATTTTTTCGTATAGCATAGGTTTTAGTATAGTATAGATTATATTTTGGTGGAAATCTTTTCAATATTATTTTACAAAATTCTATAGACAATAAAATTTTGTTTCAACTAATATAGTGCGGCATCGCTTCTTTGATTTTTGTCTGGATATGTTTATATATAGAATTTTATTGGTAGATAATTGCCATATTAAAAGATCCATGCTAAAAATATTTAATTCTTGGATCTACTGTTATGAGTAGATCTGGAAACTGGAAAATGCTAAGGTGTTAAGATTAGATTGTAATTATTATGTTAATTAAGAAACTTTTATAAATTCTTATTATTATTATTTCGACAAGTTTTCTAACAATTTGTATTAAACGGAATTGATCTCAGTTTGTTGTATGATTTGTTTTTTTTGTTAATATTTCACCATGTGATATTAGATCATACAGAATTTCTTTTTCTTTGAGCATACTAGTGTTAATCCTTCTTTCCAATAGATTTTAAGTAATATCTGATTTCCTTACCACGTTATCGGCTTTCTGATTCAGTGCTACAATTAATTGGTTAACGCTCAGGTATGGACCACAGACATATTTTGGCCATCATTCATTACCACCATACATTCGATATATGCAGAATATGCCTGTCTGATGAATATTAGGATCCCGGACATTACATAGACTATTGTGAAGTATGTTTTGAAGTATGTTGTGAAATTTGAATGTTTGTTTTAAAATGCAATCCTTTATACTACCATTTTTTACCTTCTGCTCTGTTTTTTTTTAAAAATAGCATTTCTTAATTGTTAATTGTAAGTCACTGTTTCTATACTCTCTAAATAGTCAAATTGACAGACATAATATATACTGTAGCCCAGTATTTTTACCTTCTGCTCAAAATCTGGATTTTGTTGTTTGTTAACTAGTCTTTAAGTAATAGACCTTTTTCAAAATTTGTTATGTTGGTACACCCTTTGTTGACATATGGTACAAATTTGAGCGCCATCTGTCAATTAGTTTGCTTACAGCAGCTGTTAATGTGAGACTATCTCAAGTGCATTTAACGATTTTTACTATGGAAAATTCTTGTTGTACGCGATTTTTTGACCAAACACGGCACCACTGTCATCGCTCAGGCACCATATTCGCCAGATCTGGATCCGTGCGATTTTTTCCTGTTCCCGAAACTCAAATTGCTCCTTCGTGGTAAGCGTTTTGAGTCGATTGAATCGGTAAAAGAGAATTCGCTGAAGGAACTAAAAGCCATACCTTCACGGGACTACGAAAAGTGTATGGAAGATTGGGTTAAACGGTGACTTATGTGTATCGCGTCAGAAGGAGCATATTTTGAAGGAGATAAAATAATTTTGGAATAAAATTTAAATTTGTGTGTTTTATTTACAAAATCCGAGTACTTTTTGAGCAGAAGGTATACCTCATTTTTTTGATTATAATTTATTTATTGTTATTGATTATTAGATATGTCTAGAACAATTTATTTTATTCTCTATGAATTAAAAAATTATTGAATATTGAGCGTGCATATAGCTCTCATATCTTAAATAGCTCGATTTTTAAACAGTTTCATTATTATAATAAAACTGTGTTTAAAAGCGAATTTTACCTTTCCGACTTTTTATGAGATGAATAATTTTTAGTTGGTTTTTCTTCGAGTTCCCCCGTTTAGTATTTTACATACCTAAAATTTTTGTTTTTTATGGCTTAGACATATTTTTTATAGGTGGGTGTGCCTTATCAATTGTATTACGTAGTCCATGTTTTAATTTTGATCAGTTGCCAATTTTTAAAAATGCAACTTTCTGCTTTCTTTTTAAGATATTAAAAAATGTAGAAGAGATTAAATTCATAATTTATTTCTAATTAGTCCGTCTGCCCGTCCGTCGTCTTCTGTCTCTTTTTGTCTCTCTTTCCCTCTCTGACAGTCACAAAATCATACAATATTCTACGGAAGATATTAACAGGTTGATTTTGAAATTTTGGGTAATGACACAAAATACATTATTCATTTTTATTTTTACATATAGATTATAAGAGAAATTATTTGCTCTCCTAATTTATTTATTATACTATAAAAAAAAGAAAGTTATTAAGGAAATTGCATTTAGTTTACAAAATTGATTAGAACCTATCATGCAAATTCATTTGTTATGTCCATTTATATGAAATATTTGTTTATTTTTTAATGCTCTTAGCCTAATTAACTACCAAAAGTTTTTATCTTATCGTTAAACTTAGAAAACTATTTTATATATAAATTGGATTTTATCTATAATAAGCTACATATTTGCGGTTTTTTTATGCAAAAAATAAATTAATTTATATAAATCTATAATTTT